GGAACTGTTCCAGGTCCCTTTCCATAGGGCAAGTCCCTCAGGTGAAGGCACTTGGGGCACAGAGGCGACACCTGCCTCACTCTGCTCTTCTCCAGGGTTGCAGGGGAATCTCTGCTCTGGCACCTGCAGCTTCTCCTTCCTCACCTGGGGAGCTGCTCAAGGAGGAGGGACAACAGCAGTGAAAGGGACTTGGGACCAAAGGAGGCATCAGCAGAGCAAGAAATATTTCCCAAGCTGTAGCAGCTTCAGCACCCATTCCACTCTGTCAATGGAACTCCAAACGGGAGATCAGGTGGGTTTGGTTTGAACAAGAAAGTGAATTTAAGAGTAAATTGTGGATTTACTCCTGTGTCAGGGTATTCTCTGGAACATGAATTTGCTGCTTTAAAATGTTATTTTACTTTCCATAATTTGTCTGGGCTGTGTTACGCAAGAGGTCAGTGTTTCACCTTTTATAAATAAAGAGCTGATGATGCTGATGCTACTTATTTAGGCTCCCTTGCAGCACATCTGCAGTGCAGGTACTTTGAATTTTCCTTTGCTGGGCTACTCCCAGTGGCCATCACCTGAAAAGGAGAGGCTTACTCAACCCTTAGTGTGGGAGGATTTACTCGACCCTTAGTAAGTGCCCCAGGAAAGCTGAGACCCTTGTGTCCTACCTGGTGCCTGTCCGATGTCTGTCAGCATCCTGTTAGGTGAACCCTGCACTGAGCCACCCTGCTTGAACAAGGGTTGTTCCGCTGAGTCAGGGAAATATCAACAGCACAAGGGAGAGCCCTCAGTAGTTCTTCCTCTTTATTGGAGTGTGTTCCCTGCTGCTGGCAACTGCCAGCACCCAGGAAGGATTCACATTGACAGTTAATGGAATAACTCTGGTTATTAATATAAAATTGTGACAGGTTCAGGTTTGAGGGTTGTTGGTGATAGTGCCTGACTGCAAAAATATACTTGAAGGAATATACCTACAAGCTTTAATCCTTAAGAAAACGTTCAGCATGCAGAGTATGATTCTTACCCAACAGGCATCCCACTGCGGGATAAGACAGGTTCAGCCTCTTGACTGATCCCAGCAGTTATGATTGAGTCTTCCCCAACTTTTACCCCATCCTTGACTTACTCTTATACAATTTATTTGTGTTTAGTTGGAGCTTGGGTAACACAAGGTGATACATACCTGTGTTTTTGTTGGGTGTAAAATCCTCTCAGATTTTAAAGATAAAAGAGCACAGAGCTTGTGCCCAGTAAGGAGAGAGTTGTACCTTGAGGGTGGGCACCTTTGGGATGGAGGTGCGTGTTAGTATTATTATTATTATGCTTTAATGAATCAAGTTCATCTAAGGAGAGGGATTTTGCCCCAGTTGCTGGCTCTGCAGCAGGACATCTGTCCCTGTCTCACCTGGCTGATGTGTGGAATGTGGTTTATCAGCTGCAAAGCAACATCGAGTTCCCGTCCCTGCAAGGATTTCCACAGAGGCTGGCTGTGGTGTCTCCACTCTGTCCCACCCTCCATCCCATCCCCCTCAGCAGGTGTGTGTGGATGGGGAGTCATTTTGGAATAGTTTTCAAGTCCTGCCAACTGCATTCCATCCAGGGAGCAGCAGCTATGATTTACTCTATAATTTCCATACGGTTTTAACTCCTATTAAAATGCCAATATAACTCCTCAGTTTCCTCTAATTGTATCTTCAGTTACCTGTCCACAGAGTCTCCAGTCATTTTCCCACATAATGTACCCTTTTGGAGTCAGAGGCACAGAAAATATTCCCTTATTTGTGCTGACAGGCTCTGACACCCAAGAAAACACTGAGTTTAACTTCAAGCCATGGAGAAAGCTTCTAGAACTAAGTAGAGAAACTGAGAATGTGAAGTGTGTATGTTAGATAGAATTGTATTAGATCACTGGATGAAAAAGTTGGAGTTTGGAGTTTTAGTTGTATTAATATGTGAGATACAAGATGGAGGATTTGGGGCATTGCCTCTTTTTCTTGTTCTTCTTCTTCTTCTAAGGGTTTTTGGGTAATAATGAGTGATTGGATGAAAGAATCCACATTGCAGCACACAGGCATCGGGTCATTGGGTGACTAAAGAAAATAAGCTAGCTAGCATTTGATTATTGGGTGAATGGACACATAAAAGGCCATGGAGAGATTCTTCATCTCTCCATTTTGCACCTTGCTACCCTAGTGTATATAGCTCCTTGTTCTCTGTAAATACGTAACATAGGTAAGGAAAGAATAAACAACTGAGCCGGAACACAAGAAAACAAGTTTCTCTCTCGTCAGTCTCGGTCCTGGGGGAAAGAACCAAGCCACCAATGTCGCACTCTGACAGTACCCCATGACTATAGTCACTCAAACTTCACAATACCTAATGTTTGAGCATATTTCCCATATGCTTTGGGACTGTGTGGATGGTTTAGTACAGTTGTAACTCATGGGTTGTTTAGTATTATTGGAGGTTGTCAGTAAGTTAATTGTTTCATTATCATCCAGACTTTTAACATACATTGCAATTATTAGAACAAAAAGGTAAGGGGTTACTTTTACTAAAATGCCAACAGGGTGAAGCATTCAGCTGAAAATTCCAGCAGCCCCCTCACCACCCCTCAGAGGCGAGGAAGAAAGAGGAATTGTGCGCCTTTTTTCCTTCTTAAATACGTCATCACAGAGGCATTGCTAAATTCTCTAATTGGGCCAGCCAGTATGTCAGTTGTCAGAATCTTTAGGGATTCGTTCTGCTGGACGTAGTAGACGTTTTGAGGAGCTGCTCTCTCAGAAGCAGCCTCCGCCCCCACTAAAAGCCAAGTTGTGTTAACCTAACACATCCTTGAACCTTGGATCCTGAGAAAAGTTGAAGAAACCTCTGGAGAAGCCAGACTCAAACTGTGAAGTTTCTTGTAGTTCTAATGGGTCCCACTGAGGGACACTACTGAGAAAACATCCCAGAGCACAAAGCTGGAGGCAGTGGCAGCAGGTCACACAGTCACAGAATCACTGAGTCATTAAGGTTGGAAAAGACCTTCAAGATAATCTAGTCCAGCAGTCAACCCAACACCACCATAATCACCATATCCCCAAGTGCCACATTCAGGTACCCCTTGAACTCCACCACCTCCTTGAGCAAACTTTTTCGGTGACTGAACACTCTAACAGTAACATTGTTTTCTAATATCTGATTTGAACCTCCCCTGGCCCAACTTAAAGCCATCTCCTCTTGTCCTGTCACTTGACACAGGGCAGAAGAGACTGAAGACCACCTGACTAAAACTTCTCTTCAGGCAGTTGTAGAGAGCAGTGAGGTTCCTTTTGAGCTTTCTCTTCTCCAGACTGAAAAACCCCTTAGCTGTTCCTGGCAAGATGTGTTTTCTAGATCCTTCCCCAGCTCCACTGCCTTCTCTGGACTCGTTCCAGCTCCTCAGTGTCTCGCAGAGCTTCTTGCCAGAACTGGACACAGGACTTGAGGTGGCACCTCAGTAGTCCCAGTGCAGAGGGACAATCACTGCTGGCTGATCCAGGCCAGGTGCCACTGACCTTCTTGTCCACCTGGCAAAAAAAATCCATCTGGCTCAAATCCAGCTGGCTGCCAACCAGAACCCCCAAATTCCTTCCCACTGAACAGCTCTCAAGCCACTCCTTCCCCAGTCTGGAGCATTCCGTGGGGTTGTTGTGATCCAAGGACAGGACTTGGCACTTGGCCTTGTTGACCCTCACACCGTTGTCTTCAGCCCATTCATCCAGCCTGTCCTGATCCCTCTGCAGAGCCTTTCTGCCCTCCAGCGGACCCACACTCCCACACAAGTTGGTGTCATTTGTGAACTTAGCGTGACTTCCGCTTGATCCCCTCATCCAGATCATCAATAAAGATGTTAAACAGGACTGGCCCCAACCCAACACTGACCCCTGGGGTCACCCACAAGTAATGGGCTATTATGGATAGAGTGGAAGCTTCAGACAAGCCCTGTCTTAGGCTAAGATTTTTGGATAGAGCTTGAATTGGGTGGCCTACACCTAAACCACTCTAGCTCACAAGTTCTAAGAGTGGCAGATCAGGTCTATTATATAATGAGTTATTTATTGAATAGACAGGAGATAACAGACAAAAGGTCTTGAACGGAGTTACTCACTACATGGTATAAAACAACTACTAGTGAAACAGTGCACAACGCTAAGGTACCTATATTAAAGCTAGGAAAGAAATAGTATTGATTAAGAGTCAATGTAACTTACCACCAAACTGGCAAGAGTGTGCAGAGTCCTTTCACTCAACCTTCGAGAGAGTAACCACAAAACCAGCATCCCAACTTTGGGGGAAAAGCCCCACACATTTCCAGGGAATGTGCAGAAGATGTCTGCTTTGTGAAAATTTGGTGTAACTTTAATAGATTGTGAAGTAAAGTGTCTGTTAGAAATTCCAGCTTATCTTTCCACAATCTTGCTTCCACAGCAAGATGTTTATTGTCAGCTAGAAGTGTCACTTCCATGGCATCCGAATAACCATGAAACAAGTGGTCTTAAGCAATTTATTTCACCAATTAGGAAGCTCTTGTGGTGGGTGTAAGAGCCAACAGAGAGATGTGGACTTCAGATGGCTTTTCTTTCTAATGCTGTTTATTCTATAGCTTAGATTACAGCAGGGGGTCGTGGGTTGGCCTACAGCTGCTGGCAACAGGCAAGCCCTGTGTCCTGAAGCCCACTTAGTTCTGCTTACAGTGCATTCTATCTCTTTCTGTGCATATTACTACATAACAACCAATCAGCATCATACACAATACCTTTACATGTACATATATCCTATCAAAACTGCTAAAATTACCATACTATGTTAGGGCCTAACTAATCATCTGAGTTAGTAATTACATGTTAAACTTTGAAACTTGTTTTGCAGTGGAAAATTCTTTTTGCTTTGGTGGAAAATATCTTTCTGTCTGTCTGTGCTTCTTTACTTGGTAGAAAACATACTTTGTTTGAAGACCACTTAACCTGTTGGACTTTAGCCATAAAACTTCCTTCTAACTGACGGCACCTTTGCTCTAAGCCTTCCAACTTGACTAAACCTTTGTTCTTTCAGCTGTTTCAGCAACAGCTATCCCTAAAAGCTGCTTTTTATATATCAAAGCTTGCTTTCATTTCTAAAGAACCTTCTGCTAAGCATTCATATCCATAAAGTTTATCTGTTAAATTCTCATCCTTCCCAACAGTGGGGAGCGCACCGGCCCCAACTCGATTTAGTTCCATTCCCCGCCACTCTCTGGACATCAGCCAGTTTTTCACCCAGCAAGCTGTTCCCCTGTCCAATCCATGAGCAGCCAGCTTCTCCAGTGTCATAAGCTTTACTCATGTCTATAAACACACATCCACAGCCTTTCCCTCATCTACTGAATGGGTCATTCTGTCACAGAAGGACCTGCCTTCCCCAACCATGCACTGTCTTGGCCCGATCTCCTGGTTGTCCTGCACATGCTGTAGGATAGCACTCAGGATGATCTACTCCATGGCCTTCCCCAGTACAGAGGTCAGGCTGACATGCCTGGAGTTCCCTGAACGTAATGTCCCGGTCATGGGTGGGGAGACAAAAATCCACAACTCATGCTCCAGGTGCTCATGAGACAAACACCTTGTTTATTATTCAGAACTTACTTAAATACCCAGTTCAAATCTCCTGGGCTATACAGCCATTGGCTGAGATCTTTCTCCCTACCCAGCTTCCTGGCCAGTGGTGTGTTTACTTCTCACCTTGAATGGGGCTGGCTGAGGGTCCCCTGTAACTTATCCAGGGACATGTTCAGGCATGAACTAGGCTAGCTGAATAGGATTTGTGTTATGGTCAGATTCACTTTGTCTGGTGCAGGCCACCTGTACTGTGACAATACCGTGACACCTGAATCCTCCTTCCAATCCTTCTGATAGATGGGCATCACATTGGCTGATTTCCTGTCAACAGGAACTCCTTCAGTTTACCAGAGCTTCTGAGAAACGAGTGAAATCGGCTTGGCCAGCTTTCTCCAGCTCCCTCATGTGCATCTCATTTGTGCCCAGGGACTTGTGTGTGCTTATGTGTGTGTGTGTGTGTGTGTGTGTGTGATTGGCAGAGCAGATCACTGACTGTTTCCTCCCGCATTTCAGGGCTTCACTCAGCTCCTTTTCATCAACTTCCAGCCCTGGGAGCTGAGCAGTCTCAGACAAGTGGGTTTGGTGTTTGTCTTGGTTCTAGAAGACAGGTGTCTGCTAGGGAGAACAGGAGCCCCCCTTGGGATGAAAGAATGTAGACCCCCTCCCTCCGAATTATTATAATTTTGAAATCAAGGGACTTTCAGGCAGAGATCTGGGGATAGGAATAACAGTTCTTTACTAGTATAACCAGGCAAACAAACAACAATTACTACAGCATTAACAAGAAAACAGAAACAGGGACCCCGTGACAGTTTTCCCGGCTGAGATAGGATGGGGGAGAGGCTTTGTTTTCACAAACCCCCTCGGGCAGTCCGTCCCGGTGCTCCTGCAGGGCTTCGAGGAGCAGTCAGCTGGAACAGCAGGGACGAGCTGAGGTCCTGGATTGGTGGATGAGGTGGATCAGCAGGGATGAGCTGAGATCCTGGGCTGGTGGCTGAGGTGGATCAGCAGCTCCGCGGTGGTGCCTGGCACTGCCACACGTCCCGGCAGGGCAGGGGGTACGAGGCC